ACAAGGTCAAGAGATGGAGACCATCTTGGTCAACAAGGTGAAACCCTGTCTCTACTAAAAATACAAAAAATTAGCTGGGCGTGGTGGCGCATGCCTGTAATCCCAGCTACTCAGGAGGCTGAGGCAGGAGAATTGCCTGAACCCGGGAGGCGGAGGTTGCGGTGAGCCGAGATCGCGCCATTGCACTCCAGCCTGGGTAACAAGAGCGAAACTCCATCTCAAAAATAAAAAAAGTAAGCTTTTGTAGGCCGGGCGCCATGACTCACTCCTGTAGTCCCAGCACTTTCGGAGCCTGGGACAGGCAGATCCCTTGAGGTCAGGAGTTCGAGACCAGTCTGCCCAACACCGTGAAACCCCGTCTCTACTAAAACACGAAATTAGCCAGACATGGTGGCAGATGCCTGTGATCCCTGCTACCTGGGAGGCGGAGGCACAAGAATTGCTTGAACCCAGGAGGTGGAGATTGCAGAGAGCTGAGGTTGTGCCATTGCACTCCAGCCTGGGCAACAGAGCGAGACCTCAGTCTCCAAAAAAAAACCTTTTTCTTGACCTTTCTACATCAAAAAATATAACAATATGGCAATACTACTACAAAATCGTCAGAATGGCTAAAATGAAAACCACAGACAGCAAGTGTGTGGGCGCTGGACGCCCCTGAGCTGCTGGCGGGGGCCTGGGAACTGCTGGGCACTCCTTGGCTTCCTGCCCCGCCTGGGACTGGAGAACCCCCGGGACACCCTAAGGGGAGTGTGCTCCTCTCCACGTCTGCCGAAAGACAATGTGAAGCTGTTCGAAGCTAAGCCCCCGGCCTGGGACGTGCTCTGAGGCCCAGCAGCAGGTGCAGAACTGAACGGGCTCTGTTCTCCCGGGGATGCTTCCAGCACCTGCTGCCGGCCATGGGGCGCACTGGGCCCTGGGGTGTGGCCGAGGGGCTGGCTGTGTCTCCTGCCCAGGCTGCCGGCCCCTCAGGTTCCCTTTGCCGTCTCTAAGCCCACATCTCGTAGCAGTTGGAGTTTGCCACTGGGTGACACACCTGATGGGGTGGGAGACTCTGCACCTTCCCAGAACCTGCTGCGGGCCACTTCTCCTGGGAACAAGCCACCTCTCCTGGGTCCGGGCCACCTCTACCAGGTCCAGGCCCTGCTCTGTGGACGAGTACCTGGGCAGCCAGGTGGTGCGTGTGTGGGATTGGACTTTGTGCTGAGCGTGATGGGCACCTTGGGAGGAGGTCACACGACCCGATGTCACCCTCCACGGAGCTCCCTGAGCACCAAGTATGAGGGGCAGCGGCGCCCAGCAAGGCCGAGGAGGGTCGACTGTCATCCAGTCAGGAATCAGGGTGGATGGGACCAGGGTAGGGGCAGTTTGGGAGAGAGGACACTCAGTTGCATTCGGGAGGCAAAGCCAGGGGGACCTGCCAAGAAGCCAGCCCACGAGGCCATGGACGCCTCCACGGCATCAGCTGGAGCAGCGGGCGGCCCCAGGCAGGGAGAAGGGAGCAGCAAGGGGAACGGCGACGGGTCCCCCGGCCACCGGGCTCCAGTCCTGCCCCTCCGCTTTCCACCCCCTGAACAAGTGGCTTCCACCTGTCAAGGTCCGCTGAAAATGGAAGCCCCTCAGCTCGAGGGTGTCGCCCCCGTGCAGGGCTCAGGGGCCCGAGCAGGCAGGGAGAGGAGACGAAAGGCTAGGGGACCCACTTCTCCCTGCCCAGACCCTCACTCAGCAGCAGAAGGCTCCTCTGCCCGCAGGCACCCCTGCCTGACACCTCCCTCCAGCCCCCGTGGGACCGGCGGGGACCAGGCCCGTCCTCTGATGGAAAGGTTCCACCACATCCGTGGCTGACAGAGCCGGCCGTCAGAGGCCGGGGGCGCCGGGTAAACAGGAAGCCCCATCCCTCCGGCACGTGCTTCACTCCATCCTCCTGTGGCTCCTGCAGCCCGGCTCCGCGGTCACGCCTGGTGCCCCTCTGCCTCTGGCCACCTGAGATGCCCAGGCTGGCCTCTGCCGGGGGCTCAGTCCGCCCTCTCCTGGGACTGCAGAGGCCAGAAGCACCTGGGTGAGGGGTCCAGGAGGCCCAGGAGGGCCCGGGGGCTCCACCAGACCCCTCCACGCCTCTCCGCCCAGCCGGCACGCTCTGGGAAGGTAAGGCAGCCCTTCACCTTATAACTAACCTCAGAGCATTCCCAGGCAGCCTGAAGGCCACTGGGACAACCTGGCCCTACTGACAGGAGGGCCAATGGGGAAACTGAGGCCTGTGTGGGGCACAAAGCTGGGACCAGAGCTCCAGCTCCTGCCCATGCCAGGCCTCCGCCTCTGATGCCACCCCAGGCAGGGTGAGGCCCCGGGCCCCAGACCTCCCAGTGCCCAGATGAGGACAGGCGCAGGCCTCGGGGCAGCCGCGAACACCACCGGGACCCCCCTCTGTGCTGGGCCCCTGAAACGAGGAGGGGCCAGATGTGGGCCCAAGCTGTCTTCCGTGGGGCTACGGCCTTGGCAGGAGACTGTGTGTGCCACGATCCCAAACCCACGCCACCAGAGCGGCAAGGGCAAGGCAGGGGCGCCTCCAAGGACCGGACGGTGAGGGAGAGGCGCACCTGCCCTCTGCTGAGCCACAGGCCTTGGGCACAGAGTATGCTCCACCCAAAGCAGAACCTGGGGGTGGCCCCACCCCCACACCCCCAGTACCCTCTGGAGTCCAAGAGGATATAGACAGGAAACATGTCTGTTCTCTGCCAATCCCTCGACCCTTCTGTCCCTGATGTGTCCCTGGCATTAGGGCGAGACCCCAGCCCACCTCCTGCACCTGCCGCTGAGGCTCTGGGAGCCCGAGAGAATAGAGTACCCCTCCCTTGGCTCCGCCGGGCCACAGGAGAGGGCACAGGTGGCACTCTGGGCCTGAGCCGGGGCCTCCTTCCCTTGGGGAGGGTCTGGTCTTGGCCTGGGGAGGGGCTGGGGACAGGGCAGAGCTTGTCAGGAGGGGGTTGCAGTGAAAACAAGTGGGCAGCAGGCTGGGCACAGCCCCCCAAGGCTCGCACCCAGACCCCAATGCCAGGAGGGCAGCGTAGGGAGGACCCAGACTCTGCCCTCACCCCCTGGCCTGCAAGCCCAGCATTCCATTCACCGGGAAGGCCCCCAGCCGACCCCGGCCAGACAGGTGTGTTGATAGGGGCTGCTCCAGGTTGGAGCACAAGACAAGCTGGGTGGGGGACAGAGGGCTCCCCAACAGGAGGAAGGAAGGAAGGGTGAGGTGGCCTCCTACCCACCGTCCCAGCCCTGCTGGCCTCTCTGCTCAGCTGGGCCAGTCACCTCGCCCTGTGGGCCTCAGTTTCCCCCCTTTACACGGAAGGGGTAGATCCAGCCCACCCCAGGATTATGGGTCCTTCTGCCCAGAAGCCGGCACAGATCCAGGGGAGTGAGGGGGAGGGGGAGGGGCAGGTTGCAGTGACACAGGCAGAAGGCAAGAGGGCACCTCCTAGGATGGGGGCACAAGCCTACTGGGCCCTTCTATGCTGGAGGGACAGGCTGGCCAGGGCAGGAGGAGCCCCTGGTGGGAGAGCCAGGGGGCCGAGGGTGCAGCCAGTAGGGTAAGGGCCAGATCCCAGGTGGCCGAGTGTGGAGGAGATGGGGAAATGGGGGTTCTGCCTATCTGCTCTAACCTCGGGGCAGGGGCCCCCTCTGGAAAGAGGCCCTTCCCTCTCAGACCAGCCATGCCTGGTGCCAGGAGCACCCCCTTCAACCAGCTCAATGGCCACGGGGCAGGTGCAGAAACTGAGGCCCGAAGAGTGAGGCCCTGAGCCCTGAGCACAGCCCGGCATTCAGGGCAGATCCTTCCCTGGCCATGGGTAGGGGGGAACTGGTCCCTGCTTGGGGGGAGGGGTGTCACTTGTAGGGGAGGTTTTCTGCCTGCCCGCCAAAGCCCAGTGGGGAATTTCCCAGCTGCCCGGCCTCCCGTGGCCCCAGCTGTCCAGCTGAGAACTGGAAAGGTGGGGCACACTGACCGTTGGGAGAGGCCCTGCTCCAGCACCCGGGTTCCAGCTGTGCCCTCCGAGGCCGCCCAGCTCAGTTCCACGCCGAGACCCCTCCTACCCCACCCACCATTGCCACAATAGCTTGCTCGGCCTGAGGTGCCCAAGGCCACCTGAATAAGGAAGCTGAGGGTCAGACCTGAGGGCTGGGACCCCAGGAACCTGCCAGAACACCCCGTTATCACCCCATCTCCCACATCCCTCCCCGCACCCCTCCCCAGCCTGCTGCCAGCCAGGGCACCCCTGGGGAGTGAGCCTGCCTGTCCATCTCCAGGGCAGGGCCTCACGGCCTCGCTGGCAGCTCTCTTAGGGGACAGGCCTGAGTCACAGTGCCGAAGCCTGCCCCATCCTGCCACCCCCTACCATGGCCGACCTTGGGCCTCAGGGACCCACAGAACGGGCTGTTCTCAGGCCACTCAGCCTGCCTTACACACCCCAGTCCCTTCGGGCTGGGCCTCCCCACCCTACACCCCCCACTGCTCAAGGCTCCAGTTCAGCTGGTCCCTGCCTTGGCCTGGAGCCCCTCCCGGCTCCACACTGTGTCACACATATCTGCAGGTGTCCTGTGGGAGGGCCAGTATCCTGTGGCCCACAGACCAAGCAGGTCCCCTCTGTCCAGCCACACACAAGCGCGCCCTGTGGACCCACGGGCCTGCCGGGCTCGGGTCCTCCACCTAGCACCCTCCCCAGGGTCTCCAGCAGGGTCCAACCCTGGTTTCTGGCTGCTTTGAGGCTACACTCTAAAGCCCCAGGGGACAGCTTCCCCACCCCCAGCAGTCTCTCCAGGCCCCCTCACACGGTGGCCCCCGCCCCCCTCAGCCTCCTGTTTGTCCGACGACACGTCCCTGTTATCAGCGGAGAACACACACAGGAAGTCCGGCTGGAAAGGGCCCATCCCAATCCCGATTACCCAGGACGGGGCATAAAAAGCCGCCCTTCCTCACCCGGGGGGGAGCCTCCCTGAACCAAGCCGGCTGCCCCGCACGGCTTCAAGGGAGGCTCCGGGGAACAGGCCAGGCGGGCCGGGCCTCGGGAGGTGCCTCGGGCAAGGGCCAGGGTCCATCCCCCGTCCCGGGACACAGCAGCTGCGGCCATGGCCACGCCTGGGCTCCCGCAGCATCAGGTATGGCAGGGGAGGCCTTGGAGGGGCAGGGAGCAGACGGGGCGCCCCCATATGCGCTCACTCCCGCGGACCCCGGCGCCTGCTGGGTGTCCTGCAGTCCGATCCCTGGAGTGGTTGCAGAGGAGGGGTCCCAGTCCGCCTCCCTTCTGCACAGAGGAGGCCACTGAGGCCCCATGGCCCAGCACCTGCTGGTGGGTGGCCCAGTGTGGGTCCCAGTCCTTCCTGCTGACTCCAGCACTTTCCGAGCCCACCTTCTGGCCTTCCTCTGCCTCCGCAGAGCAGCCACTGGGGTCGGCAGCAAAGTTCAGCTCTGCCAGGCCCGCCTCCAGGGCCTTGGTGCTGTGCCTTGGGGTATCCCAAGGGCTGGGGTCTCCTCAGCTTCTCCCTAGCAGTGGATGAGCACCCCAGTGGGGGTCTGGGGAAGGGAACTGGCCCCGAGGGAGATGAACCCCAAAGCCAGATCTAGCCAGGATGAGCAGTGTGAATCCGGGGTGCGGCACATGGGGCTCAGGCTTCGGGACGACTTGGTGGAGTGTGGTGGGCAAATGGGTGGCCCTGTGCCCCCTTAGACCTTGGAGAAGCCCTTGTTCCCCATTGCCCCAGCCCCATGCAGTAACTGAAACCCCGTCCCAAAACCCCAAAGCCACAGCGGGTCCTAGAAGGCCCCACTTTTTGTCTCAAATGTCCACGCCAAGAAGCCTGTCTGAGAACCCCCACTCTCCAGACGGTGGGGCCTAGCCCCGGGGCAGCCCAGGATCCGCCCTTTCTGCTTCGTCGCCTCTTTTAGACTCAGGCAGGAGAGGTGGGCAGGCAGGTCAAAGGGTCAAATGACCGAAGCTCCAGAGATGAGGCCGGGGCAAGGGTCAGGTCGGGGCGGCTCTCCCACCCAGAGGTCCCCTCGGCCCCACTCTGAACACCTCAGTGCCCAGGGCTAGGTAAGAACCGCCCTGCATGGGCTCAGGACACCAGGAGGCCTAGGACTCCCCGCTGTGACGGCCGTCCCTTGGGCCAGGTGCCAGGGGTTTCCAGGCCTCCTGGTCCAGAGCAGTGGCCACTGAATTACACGGTGGGGCGGCCTCATTTTGGGGGCTCCTCTCCAGGCACCTGGGTTCCTCCCTTCCCCCAGCTAACATGCGCCAAGGTAGCCCCAAGCTGGTGGCCCTCCCCCCTCCATCTGCAGGCCCCTCGCCCAGTGCCCTGGGCTTTGTGGAGGGACCTCCAGCTCCACTCACAGCCACCTTCCATCCCCATGCCAGGGATCCCAGGGCTGGAGAAAACAGACCCATTTTACTGACGCCAGGGGCTGTGGACCCGAGAGGACAACCAGCCGGGACAGAGCGGGCTGGGGGTGGGTGCAGGTGGGGTCTACAGGCCCAGCACTGGAGGACGTCCCACAGCAGCACCCAAGGCTGAACCCGGGCCCCTTCCCAGCCCCCAGACTTCAGGGTGACCAGGACTGTGGGTTGACACTACGCATCCCTCCTCTCCAACCTGCAGCCCCCAGGGCCCGGGAGGCACAGGTGGCCCCGCCCCGAGGAGCAGCTGCAGCCCCAGTCCCGGGGATGACGGATTCTCCTCCGCCAGGTGAGTCCCAGCCAACCCCTCACTCTGAGGGAACACGTCTCACACAGGCACCCACTCTGGCTCCGAGACAGGGTGCTGGCTCTCACTGGGTCTGAGGGGCTGCTGAATTGGGCTGACCTGGGCCTCATGTGCTGCGGCCACAGTAACAATAGCAGGGATGGCGGTGACCTCAATATCACGTGCCCCGGGGCTGTTTATCCTCGTCCTACACATTTGGAAATGGAGCCTGGAGAGGAGAGGTGACCCACCCAGGAGCCTCTGGAGGGACTGTGGGTGTGAGGAGACTCCTGGGGCCTGTGGATTCCCTGAGAGGAGCGTTCCGCCCTGGCCCTGACTGTCCTGAACACAGCAGGGACCCAGTGTCCTCAGTGAGGGTGCCTGATGCTTCAGACAGGGCCAGGTGGAGGCTGGCGCAGGGGCCCCCAACCTAACACTCTAAGGCCAGGAGGGAGGCCTGTGTCCCCCCTGGTCCCATCTGGGCTCTGCCGTGTGATCTTGGAGGAGTCCTGGGCCTCTGGGCCTGGGGTGGGGACGGCGGTGACGCCCACCTCCCGCGAGGCTGCAGGACCGAGCTCAGTGCTGCCTAGCGCCAGGTGCCCACCAGCGGCTGAGACGCGCGTCCTGGGTGGTTTCGTCCTGGGGGTTTGGGTGCCAGCGCCCTGGGCGGCGTCCCAGCTCCCGGCGGCCGCGCACCGAGCGCTCTGCCCGGGGACGCGGGATTCCGGAGGGGGCTGGGGGGCCGCAGTCCGAGGTCACTGTTCGCCCGGGGCCTCAGTTTCCCCGTCCGCACAATGGGGGCGGGGCGGGGGCGGGGCAAGGCCGCCAGGTGGGGCGGGGCCGGGGGCGGGGCGGGGCCCGGGGCCCCCACGGCGCGGGCTCGGAAGGCAGCGGCGGCGGCGCGTGCGCGCCCCGGATCCGGCGGTGAGTGCGGAGCGAGCGGAACGCGGGGTCCGGGTCTGTCCGCCGCCGGGGCTGGGGCGAGGCTGGGACCCGCGGAAGCCCCGGGGGCGGGGGACCTGGCGGCACGCAGAGGGCAGCTGGGGGCGACCGCGGCGGCCGGGGGTGGAGCGGGTCGGGGCCCCCGCGGCGGGGTCGGGCCGCGCCGGGAGAATGGGCCCAGCGGCCCCGGGGACCGGCTCCCCCTGGCGTCCAAGGACGGCGCGCCGGGAACGTGGGGGGCGCCGCGGACCCTCGCCCCCACCCCTCAGCCCGACCCCGCCGCGGGCCCAGCCCGGCCCCTGCCTGCTCCGCCCGCCCCCGGCCCGTCTGGCGCCGCCTCCGCGCCCTCCCCCGCGGGCCCCCGGCCCGGCTCCCGCTGCGAGGGGTCCCCCAGTGCCTGCGGCGCGGCCAGGCCCCCCCTCTGCGGACCGGCCTCCCGCGGTGGGGGCTGCGGCCGGGCAGGTGCGGGGGGCGGTGGGCAGGGTCCGCGGGCGCTGGGGGGACGGGACCGGACCGCTCGCACCCCTGGAGCCGCCGCCCCCTCCCCACCCGGCAACCCCGGGTCGAGGCCGTGGCCCCCCCGGGGATGTGGGGCTTGCAGCGCCAGCTGCGGGCTTCCTCTGGCCTCGGGAAAAGCATGACTTTCAAAAATTGAGTCCGCACTTCTCGGCACTGCTTCCTCTCCACACGACACTCAGGAATTGTGGGGGGAGCTGCGCGAACGTTCGTGTGGGGCAATGAGGTCTGCGAGACTCGCCCCCCCGCCAGGCCCGGCAGCCCCCTGCCCACCCCAAGCCACCCGGCCGCTGCCGCCTCTTCCTCCCCGGGTCCTACACCCCAGTGTCGTCTGTCCTCCCACTTCGCTTCTTGCCTGGGGGTGGCACCAGGCCAGGCCATCCCCAGAGTTCATCTCCGGCTAGCTCTGACCCCCGCACAAACTCCTGCCCAAAAACTGCTGTCATACCCCCGAACCTCCAGGCTAAGTCCCACCCCCAGCTGCCAGGGCAGCCTCTGCCCTGCCCTCCTCTCCCCAGCGCACAGAGGACAGGAGGCCCGGGAAGGAACCCCTCCCCCGGCCCCCAGGTCACCCTCCCCGCTGGAACCGGGTGACACGGTGGCAGAGCCCGTGAGAAGCCGGTGTGGGGTCAAGCTCCACACCCAGTGGGGCTGGGCCAGCGGCGAAGGCTTCGTGACCTCGGACAGTGTGACTGTTTATAGGACAGGCTGTCAGAGCCACAGTGGGGCCTCGGAGACCCTATTCTAGTGGTGGCTGAGAAAACAGTCCCAGAGAAGGGAAGCCTTACCCCAGCCTCCAGCCCCACCTGAATACTGGCCTTTCCCTGCAGGGGCCCTGCAGCGCCTGGGAAGGACCCCGCCCAGCCCTTGGGAAGCACCCTTGAGAGGCCCTGGGTGGGACCCCAGAGCCTGGCTGCACACAGGATGGCCTCCACTGCCACAGGCCATTAACTCTGGGCTCTCTCATACTCCCAGAAGCACCCCCGCCCCACCCAGGCCCCCAGCTCCTGCCACACAGCCAGGAGGGGGTTGGGTTCTGGCTCCCGTGACACTAGGGGGCTGCGCCCCACCCCCAGGGTGCACCCAGCACGGCCACTGTCCTGAAAGCCCTGGAGGCTGATTGCACACATGTCCCAGCACGCAAGGGACCCCTCTGAAATGAAGGCTGCCCATCTTGTGGTCTTAGAACCTGTGCGCCCCTAAATGGCTCCTGCTGGTTTGCGGCTCCACACTCAGATGAGGAGAAACCAAAGCCCAGAAGGGCTGAGGCCAGCAAGTCCCTGGTGGAGCTGGGTCCCAGCTCTGCCCAGGGACACCCCGTTTGCACAGGCTGGGGTGCAGGCTCGTCCCTGCCCTGCTGTGAGGAGGGACCTGGAACCAGGCAGGACAGGAGAAAGTGGCCCATTGCTGAGCCATCCTTCCTGGAGCCCGGGGTGCCCCAGACCCCCAGCAGGATCCAGGAGATTCCTGCAGCAAGAGCTCTGGGAGGCATCACCCCTGCGGCTGCCCGGCTGTGGCCCCAGCTGTTGGTGGCTGGTGAGGGTCTGGCTAGCTGGAAGAGGGGGCCAGGGGAGGAGACGGTGGGCGCCGCCGGTGGAGGCTCCAGTGGAGATGAGCTGGGCAGGCCTCACAGAGCAATCGCGGACTGCACCCGTGGCCTGGGGGTGGGCATCTGTGGGAAACCTGAAGGGCCACGCTCTGTGCCCCAGGCCACCCAGAGGAGAAGGCCCCCCACCCGGAGGCACGGGCCATGTGGGGCTCTCAGGAGGTTCTGCTGGTGTGCCTTCTGGTGTTGGCAGCGGGTGGCACGGAGCACGCCTACCGGCCAGGGTGAGCCAATCCCTGGCCCCTGAGGGCTGGGGTGGGGAGACTGGGGCCCTCAGCCCTTCCCTGAGGGCTTCCTCATCAGCACCAGTAGGAGACTGGAGGGGGCTCCTGCTGAGGGTCCTGCCCCGGCCGCATGTCCCATCATCCTTGGGTCCTGGGGCTGAGGGTCCTGCTCCGAGCCTCCCTGCTGACCCCGTCCTCCCCACAGCCGCAGAGTGTGTGCAGTCGGGGCTCACGGGGGCCCCATTTCTGAGTCCTTTGTGCAGCGCGTGTACCAGCCTTTCCTCACCACCTGTGACGGGCACCGGGCCTGCAGCACCTACCGGTGAGTGCCCACCGAGCCGAGCCTACCCAGCCCTGGCCCCCCAAGGCCGATCGCCACATCAGCCTGTCGGGGGTGGGGGATGAATCCTGGGTCCCCAGATGGGAAACTGAGGCCAGAGCCGTGAGAGGACCAGCTGAGATGGGTGACCCCTCAGTGCCATCTCTTGGGGAGAAGATCCCCATGCTGGGGTGACCATGTCCAGCCTGGGTCCAGGGGGTTCCTTGACCACCTCCAACATGCCAATCCTTGTTCTTACCCCGACGCATCCAAGGAACATCACCTCTGAGGCCATCGCCATGTTTAGAGGAGTCACCCATCCAGTCTGCACCCCTCACTTCCGGGACGGGAGCCCCTCCCTGCCCTGGCATCCCCAGCTGCAAGCTACAGGGGATGATGCCCCATGCCCCTGGTCCTAGCTCTCGGAGCCCCCCTGGGCATCCGCCTCCGAGTGACGGCCCCTGACAGGCACAGATGAGAACCTGTGATGCCCTGTGTGCCCACACAGGAGCCCGCGCCCCTAGTTCTCAGCTTCAGCTGGGTCCTCCTTCCTGGGTGTGGGAGCTTCACTCCCTGCTGGGGGAGGGCCTGGGATTTAGACTTGGAGATGTAAGGAGTGCGCCAGTGCCCAGAGCCCATTCTGTGGGGACCCACTGCAGGCCGGACACGCCTCGCCTCTGAGCCTGGATGCCCCCAAGTAGGAGGCTGGAGAGATGGGGGCACACAGAGGCCTGGGCACTGCCTCTGCCCCACACGAAGCATAGCTGGGCCTCCAGCAGGCTCAAGTCCCGCTCAGCGCTGGAAGGCCCAGGCAAGGAAGTGGCTTGTGCAATGACCCCTCAGTGCCATCTCTTGGGGAGAAGATCCCCATGCTGGGGTGACCATGTCCATTCTGAGAGGGGACTGTGGATGCCCAGCAGGCGGCTGAGGGGGAGCGGGATGCCCCTCTGAGCTGCCCTGCCCACCCCACAGAACCATCTATAGGACCGCCTACCGACGCAGCCCTGGGCTGGCCCCCGCCAGGCCTCGATACGCATGCTGCCCTGGCTGGAAGAGGACCAGCGGGCTCCTCGGGGCCTGCGGAGCAGGTGAGGGCCACCCCTCAGCGACCGGTGTTAGCCAGGAGGGTGGCCCTTCCCCATACTTCCAGCAACGCCCCTGTGGCTTTTCTTGACCCCTGAGCAAAGCACCTCCCTGGTGCAGAGCACCCTCCTGCCCAGCGGCTGCCCCCACAGGGTGCCGGGGACCTAACTGAACTGGTGACCCGCCTTCCTCACCCACAGCAATATGCCAACCGCCGTGCCGGAACGGAGGGAGCTGCGTCCAGCCTGGCCACTGCCGCTGCCCAGCGGGGTGGCAGGGTGACACCTGCCAGTCAGGTGAGGCTGGCTCTGCCCTGGGGGTCCCTGGAAGGGTCCTTGGGGCACCTCCTTGCATGTCCTGGGGTGACTGCCTGCCCATGAGTGGGTGTGTGTTAAGGGAGCTGAGTGGGCGGAACCCCTCCTGCAGGCATGGCCGCCTGACACCCCATTTCCTGCAGATGTGGACGAATGCCGTGCTGGCAGGGGCCGCTGTCCCCAGCGCTGCATCAACACTGCCGGCAGTTACTGGTGCCAGTGTTGGGAGGGGCACAGCCTGTCTGCAGATGGCACATTCTGTGTGCCCAACAGAGGGCCCCCCAGGCTGGCCCCCAACCCGACAGGTAAACTCAGCCCTGGCTGTGCCCGGCCTGGGGAGGTGGGCAGGCAGTGGCGATTGCCCTGTGGCTCTGTTAGGCATGGTGGGGGACACTGGAATCTGGGTGGGAAGTGGTGGGGGCTCCTTCTCCAGTGGGGAAGATAGGGAGGGAGGACTGCTGGGTTCCCAAGAACTGGGGGCTGCCCAGGCCTCATCTCAGCCAAGGCGGCAGAGGTGCCGAGTCCCGGGGTCCTGCCTGCGCCCCACTGAAGTGTTCTGGAAGAAGCCTGGCCTCTGCTGGTGACGGGACATTATTACTTTTGGTACGCGCTGTGACACTTCAAACTCGTACCGTGAGTAATAATGCGCTGTCCCCAGCACCGCATCGAAGCGCCGAGGAGACCTCAGCTCCGACCTCCCTCTGAGGGGCTGGGACCCAGGCACCCAGGGACAGCGGGGAGCAGCAGCGCCCCGAGCCACGCGCCCCGATGTGCTTTGAGACCCCTGGCCAGCGCCAGGCAGGCGGCGGGACGGACAGGAGCCTGGTCCTGAGTCTTCTGGCTCGGCCTCTCCCTAGGACAGGAGGGAGCCTGGGGGGCGGGTGGGGAGACAGCCACCCCTGACCCAGCACCTGGCTCTGCTCCCAGGAGTGGACAGTGTGATGAAGGAGGAGGTGCAGAGGCTGCAATCCAGGGTGGACCTGCTGGAGGAGGTGAGGCCTGGGGTGGGGCAGGTCCTCACCACAGCAGAGAGAGGCCCAGGCTGGGGTACGGGCTTTGTAGCCTCCTGGGACCTCGACCCAGAGACGGCTGGGGTGGTCCGAAAAGGTCCTGGCCTCGGGGAGGCGGCTTCCTTGCTGCTGACAGCCAAGGGGGCCGTGGCCTGGATCCATGCCAGGCAGAGGAAGCTGGACACTGGCCGGGACCCCCAGGGCTAGAGGACCCCAGCTCGGCAGCCCGAAACTGCACACAGAGCCTGGACGCAGACCGGGCCGCCCCACCACCACCTTTGCCCTTACCAGGACAAAGAGCTCTTGCCAGCCTTCCCACTGGCCACTGGTCCCTCTGTCCCCCTAGTTCTCCTGCCAGGGACCCCAAGGCTGGGACTGCCTGGCCAGTCTGATGCCCCAGGCACCCCCATGCCACGGACTCGTCCGGCACAGCAGCTCCCTCTAGTGGCCGCCCAGAGCCCTGCCACAGGTTCTTCCTCCGGAGGCCACTCAGAGCCCTGCGGGGGCTGGGGCTGGAGCTGGAGGCCGGGGAGTCCTTCCCAGGGGTCCTCCCTTAACCCTGGGTCTGGGGACGGAAGGCAGGGCTGGCCCGGGGTCACCGCCCTTCCGCACCCACAGAAGCTGCAGCTGGTGCTGGCCCCACTGCACAGCCTGGCCTCGCAGGCGCTGGAGCTGGGGCTCCCGGACCCTGGCAGCCTCCTGGTGCACTCCCTCCAGCAACTGGGCCGCATCGACTCCCTGAGCGAGCAGATCTCCTTCCTGGAGGAGCAGCTGGGCTCCTGTGAGTGCCCCCTCCAGAGCCCTCCTCTCCAGCAGCGGGGGGAGTCCAGATCTGGCTGGGTGGGGAGGCTGTGGGGAGCAGTGACCTCTGACCTTAGTGTCATCCCACCCTAGGCTCCTGCAAGAAGGACTCGTGACACCCGAGCCCCTGGCTGGCCTGAGCGCCTCCCTGCCCTGCAGCCCCTGCCCCTGCCTGACATGCTGGGGTTGCCACTTTGGGGTGACTGAGCAGAATGCTGGGCAGGGCACTCCTCCTCCTCCCCCACTTCATCAGGAGGCTCTCAGGGTTCTGGCATGGGTGGGCTGGGGTCTTCTGGTGAATCCACCCCAGCCACCCCAATGGCATCCCAGGGCCTGGTGGCCCCTCCGCTGAGGGAAGGTACGAGCTCACAAGCTCTGCCAGGGCCTGGGACCCGTGGCATGGGAGCCGGGAGGCTGGGTGGGGCCTCGGTGGGGCCTGCCACCTGACGCCCCGAAGAATAAAGATGAAATGTGAGCTGCTGTGTCGTGGATTCACTGGGGCCGGGCGCCAGCCAGCAAATGGGGACAGGTGGAGCTGGCAGTCATGGGGTGGGCAGGGAGCTTCTGTGAGGCTATGGACAGCTTTGTCCTCGGGACGTGTTGGGCCCAACCAGAGTCCAAAGAGCAAACCTCTGGCCTCCTTCCCAGTGCCCTGAGGATCCCAGCACGCCTGTCCCTCGGGCAACACCCCCCATCAATGGAAGCATTGTAGGGTGATGTGGGCCCACTTTGGGTGGGTGGTGGCACCTCCACCCTGGGCCCGTAGGGAGGGCGGCTGGGAAGACATACCACCAGGCTCCACCGCCCTGGTCACCCTGCCCTCCGTAAGTGACCACTGCTACCCCAACACTTCCAAGAGTTTGTTTATAAAAAAACAGCCACGGAGTACAATGCTGGCCCCACGGAGTCCCCCAGGCCGGCAGGAGGGCAGGCCCTGCTTCCCTGTGATCCTGGGTGTCTGAGTCTGAGACTCCCCAACCTCCTGGCCCCCTCCTCTCCCTGAGAGCCTGATGCAGGCTGTGGACGGAACCCCAGAGCCTGACCATATCCTGGTGGGTCCCAGGCGCCAGAGCAGAGGGCCTGGCAGTGGGTGTTTCACCTCGGGGTCTGCCCCTCTGCTCCTGGGCCATCCTGGGGCCTACGGCTCAGCCCACAGCCTCATCATTCCAGAGGCACCAGGAGACAAGTCCCTGCCCTCTGAGCTTGGGGGCGGTCTAGCTGACCCCTCTCAGGGGACGCCAGGGGCCCATGTCTGAGGCCAGTGGCAAAAGGGGCTTCCAGCTTCCAGGGCCCAAATGAGAGCCGGGGAGGCAGCCACGGTGATGTTTGGAAGCCTGGGTGGGGGGGTCCCCTCGGCCCATCCTCCAGCCACCGGCTTCTGTCCTGCCCTGCCGTGGTCTGGGCTACTGGGCCGGCTGCACACCAGGCCCCTCGCTGGCCCCGTTCTCCTGGGGGTTCTTGGAGATGTGGAGGAAGGTGGTCCTCATGGCCTGGTGGCAGGTATCCACGAGCGCAGGGACGTCCTCCTCGGTGAGGCCAAGGGTGGGGATGGCTTCTAGCACCTGCACCGTGACTGTTCCTGGGGTGGGGGAGGGCGGGGGCAGCAGACTGTCAGTGGCCTGCGGGGAGCTGGGGCCCACCTCAGCCCCTGCCCTGGCCTTGCCTCCTCCAGCCCCCCAGGCCCCCTCCCTGGGAAGCCCTGAGCTGGGCTCTTCCACTGGACTCCCAAGCCTGGGTGGGTTTATGTTAATTGTAACGGTGCAGGAAACCCGGGGCTGGCTGGCCTCCACATGGCTTCAGCAAGCCTGCGCTCCCATCTCTGCCCCCATCTGCCCCCTTCCCGACCAGCCCCGGACTCACTGAGTGGCCCCTGCTATCCATACAGGGAGAGGGGCTGTGGGAGACGGAGCTGGGCTCCCCCACTGCTCTCCAGCTCACACCTCATGGTCCCGCCTGGGCACCAGGTGCCACATGCTGGGAACTGGCCAGAAGGGGCAGAGGTGCTGAGCCCCTCACCGGTGCCCCTGGGTTCCGTCTGCCCCTGCAGGCATCAGCCTGGACGCATGGGTAAAAGGCCCCTCAAGGCTCCAGGCTGTGTGCACAGCAGGGTCCATCCGTGTGAGCTCCGGCACCCAGGCTACCCTGCTGCAGCCTCAGTTTCCTCATCCAAAAAATGGCCCCAGCACCACCAATCTCACTATACCACGGGGTAGAGTGACCACCCCGAGGCCATGAAGCCCACAGCTGGGACTCCAGCCTGAGTCACTTATTCGACACATGATGGGAACTGTGAGGGGCCCAGGGCACATGACCAAAGGGTCAGGCAGAGCCTGCAACCCAGATGCACACGTGTGGGGTACCTGAGGTGAAGAGCTTCTTCTTGGTGTTGTAGAAGGAGGAGAAGGAGGAGTATACCACAGGGACGATGGGAACCTGCGGGCAGGCAGGCGGACGGCTGCAGCAGCCCTGGTGATGGGCCGGGCACACCCCAAGTTCCAGGCGATCGGGGAGCCCTGCCCTGTGGCCCACCAGCCCCTGCCTTGGCCACTGTCGTGGGTCCTTGTGGCTGTCCTGCCCCTGGGACCTGGGACACCTGTCCCACTCTGGTTGGCCCAGAGTTCCATAAGCTCATTCTGCAAATCTTTACTCACCTCCTCCAGGAAGCCCTCCTAGACACAGGGTAGGGCCCTGTCCGGTTTAGCAGGAGGAGATTATGGCGCCATTCCCGCCCACGCCTCCCTCCCAGTCCTCTCCTCATCCCGGGAAGCACGGGAGGGAGGCAACACTAGCCAGGGGAGGGGTGGGGCCTGCCGGCGTTCCTGGAAGTCACCAGGGTCAGATCCAAGGGCACCTGTGAACCTTAACCCGAAGCAGCCAGGGAACTTCCAGGGGGCCAGCAGGCAGGCTGGGGACGGGATCGGGGAGGGAAGGGCCTCAGGTCTCCTGGCTGAAGCTGCGTTGCTGCCACCCAGCTGCGCCCATCACATCTCCCCTCTCGTCTCTCCCGGGGCCCATCCAGCCCTCACCCTGCCCCCAAAGGGAAGTGACATCAGCCCCAGGCCAGGCCAGGCAGGTGCACGCTGCACCTGAGCAGGGCTGTGATTGGAGCCCAAGGAAGCCTGCCCAGCCCAGTGCCTCCTGCGCACCCCAGCCCCACAGCCTCAGCTGGGACCATCCAGAAGGAGGGCCCCCTCCGCCACCTTGCACAGGGTCAGCACCAGGGGCCACTAGAGGCCGGTACAGGGAAACGAGCTGAGACCCCTGCCCTGAGTGAGACACCACCCAGGAAGGGTAAACACCCCTGCCCCTGAAGCAACTCTCCCCTGCCCAGCAGCAGGGGCATGACGGGCTCTGTGGGGATGGTGATGCCCTGGCCTCTCCGAGACACCCAGGACGCGCTGCGGACCAGGAAGTACAGAGTCTGGGGACCAGGAAGTACAGAGTCTGGAGGTGCTGCTCACCTAAAGCTCCACCCACTCCCGAGGCTCTGGCCCAACCCTGTGCTTGGCTTGTCCAACCCACGCCCATGCCCTGAGGCCTACCCAGCCAGGCACCCGCCCAGGAGGAGACTCCTGAGAGGCCAGCAGCCCGGCCCCCCACCATCTACCTGCCCAGCCTGGTGCCCACCAAGGTCAGCGGGTCACTCGGGGCTCTGCGTGGGCGAAAGGCCCAAGGCAGCTGCCCTCCCTGGCCAGTCACTGGCAGGTGCAGGAAGGGGCAAGAAGGCCCTGTCACCAACTCAGTGGGAGGAGGCCCTTGCATGCCAGGGGTCCTCAGCTTGGCTGGGTGGTCACCTTCTACCTTAAGCCAGCCCGATCCCGCTTCCCCAGCCTGTACCCACCCTGGGAGGGCTGGGCTCCGCCTACCTGCGCCTGGACTGCCAAGTAGAAAGCGCCCTTCTTAAAAGGCAGCAGGTCCCCGTTGTCATTGCGCGTGCCCTCGGGGTAGATCCACACTTTGAGCTGCAGGGAGAGAAGAGCCGGGCTGCCCTCACGCCCCAGCCCCCAAGAAACGAACTCCCTCCCCTCCTAAGGAGCCCCACGTCTTGAGGCGGCTGGCGTGTGACCCCATCTGCGGGGCACGGATGATGCGGGGTCTTGTTTTTTCTGCCTGCACACTCACGTTCTCCCGGACCATGCGCTCCCCGAGGTCGGCCATCACGGTCATGGCGGTGCTGGAGCGCTGGCGGTTGATGAAGAAGACGCCCCCAAGGTACATGATGAGGCCCACGGGCCCCAGAAAGAGCAGCTCCCGCTTGGCGATCTGCACGCAGCGCTCAGGAAGGACCTCCATGAGGCCTGGGAGACAGACAGAGCGAGCGAGCGAGCGTGAGCTGGAGGACGGCCGCGCACTCACAGGCTGCCCGGCGCCCCGCCTTCTCCCCGGCCACCTGGGCGGGTCGCCCGGTCTCTGAGCCCCTGTGTCCGGCCCCGAGGCGGGTGCTGAGGCCGGGCCTGCCCAGGCACGGGCAGCTCTGCGTCCTCGTCCTCGGGAGCCAGCCCCGCACAGCCCCGGCTCGGCGGGCCCCGCGGGGACCCCGGCAGCCGCCCCTGGGGGCCCGGCCTACCCATCATGTCCAGGATGCTCTGGTGGTTGGAGACGATGACGCAGGGCCGGGCCCCCCGCAGCCTGTGCTGCTCCCGCACCTCGAAGCGGAGGCCGTACACGTACTTGAAGCTTCGCACGAACCAGCTGATGATGCTGCAGGGGAGGCCGCCATGAACACTGGTCCCGCGTGAACACAGGTCCCACCGTGAACACGGGTCCCCCCATGAACACGGGTCCCACGTGAAACACGTGTCCTTCAGTGAACACGGGTCCCCCCATGAACACGGGTCCCACGTGAACACGTGTCCTTCAGTGAACACGGGTCTCCCCATGAACACGTGTCCTTCAGTTAACGTGGGTCCCCCCATGAACACAGGTCCCAAGTGAATACAGGTCCCCCTGTGAACGCAGGTCCTTCAGTGAATGTGGGTCCCATGGCCGAGGCTTGGCGGGAAGGCCTGGGGGTGAGGTGCGGAGGAAGTGGGGGAGGGACCCTCCTGGTACAGGGCAGGAGACCAGGCAGGGAGCCCCTGTGGCGAATGGAGACCCAGACCGGTTCACCCACCTGGACCGCCGCCCTGCCTGCATCTCCCCAGCAACAGGGGAAACCCCAGAGCCTCTGGAACGCAGACACTGGGCACGTGAGAAGCTGCCTGCTTCCACATCCGCATCTCGGGGACCGCCCAGCCCTCATCCACCCCCCAGGGGACTCAGCCAGGAAGGCACTGGGACTGGCTCTCATGCCCAGCACGAAGGACCCATGCCAGGGAGAGCAGCCTCTGCACCCCTGCAGAGGAGATGGGTCCCCACACACCCTGGGGAAGGTCACTGGCCCCTCAAGGCAGGGTCACGTTAGGGAGAAAGCTTCGGTGCCAGGGAGACCTCCCCGAAGACCTCTGCAAGCCTCTTCCAGAAAAAAGCCAAGCCCGAGACCCATCTCACCCCCTCCCTACAAAACTGGGCCGGGTTCCCTTTCCCCATAAAGAGGCTTTGGGGAGCTCGGGGCTCACCTGAGGTCACACACCAGGAGCAGGAGCGGAGCCAGGGTCCCCACCACCTAAGCCCCCACCCCAGCAGCCCCCTCTCTGGTAGGGCCCAGCCTACTGGGGCTGCCCTCGGGCACCTGCAAACGTGAGGTGACCTCGTCCAAGCAACCCATCATGGTTGGGACCAGGGATGTCCAAACGGCAATCGAAGTGTCTAGCCAGCTTTGAGCACCACAAGCCTCTGCCCTGCTGCACTGCCAGGAAGCTCTGGGCACTCCCCAGACAGGACACCTGCCCACCCCAGGGCAGCCCGGGAGGATGGAGTCAGAGGCTTGAACTCACCCTGAACCCCAGCAGGGCTGCATGGCCGGGGCACGGTTGTGCCAGCGCTGACCAGGGGCTGCCAGCTCTGCTCCCCTCCCCACTCAGACTAGTGCCCCCAGCATTTGATCCCCCAACAGTCCTGAGGAGAGGGCTCCCCGCTCTGTACGGATGACTCTGAGTAACTGCCCCGGGCCACAGAGCAGACATTCAAAGCTGGGGCCTTCTCTCAAAGCCAGATTGGTGGGGTTTTTACTGTTCCTGTTTTAACGGTCTCGCTCCATCGCCCAGGCTGGAGCGCAGTGTCAATCGGCTCACTCCAGCCTCCTGGGCTCCTCTTCGCCTCAGGCTCCCGACCAGCTGGGACCATGGGCGTGTGCAGCCGCACCTGGCTGATTTTTGGTAGAGACGGGGTTTTACCATATTGGCCAGAGGCTGGTCTCGAAGCAATCCGCCTGCCTCAGCCTCCCAAAGTGCTGGGATAACAGGCGTGAGGCAACTAGCCCAGCCTTTAAAAAAAAATTGTGGTAAAATACACGTAACATAAAATGTATCCCCTGGGCCTTGTGTGGGCGCACAGTTCCCTGGCGCGGGGCACACTGGGTGTCCTGCAGCCATGTCCTCCCTCTGGCTCTGGAACGATCCACCTTCCCCAGCTGATGTCTCTTCCCAGTGTGACACCAACCTGTCCCCTCCCCTGCCCTGGTGCTCTGCCCTTCCCTGTGTGAGCTCAGACCTCCAGGTGGATGGGGCAACTCTTATGCCCCCGTGTTGCAGATGGGGAAACTGAGTCAAGGGGGCATAATGGTTAATTTAGATGATCAGTTCAGCAGTCTGTCCCTGGATCAGACTCAGCCAAGAAGTCTGGACCCTGCCAGATCTGCCCACCTCCACCAGCTCTGGACACCCCCTCTCCAGGCCACACCAGCCACCATCCCCAGCCACCTAGAGGGCGCGCCCGGGGCTGGCAGCACCCACACACTCGGGAACTCAGGGCTGTTTTGTCTCCACACTCATCTGCACAATCCAGCTTCCCGGACCCCTGTGAAACCCCACAATGACAAGGAAGAGACAAAAGCAGTTCACGCACAGAAAGCACGGAGACGTCTGCTAAGTACCAGGACAGTCACGTCGCCAATCAAGAAAGGCAAACGGAAACAAGAGGCCATCCTCATCCTTCCCTGGCAGATTCGAAAGCCTGATAACAGGAGGTGCCAGCCACGGTGTTGGGAACGGGCCAAGAGTGGGGAGTTGCTCAGACATAGACGCTTCCGGCGGGCAGGCGGGCAGGCCGGGCCGGAAGCCCTGAGGAAACCTGGCCTCTCTCCTCTCAGGATCTTCCAGGAATCCACCCTGCGGCTGGAGTGAAGCCTGCGAATGCTCAAGGGTGTGGTGAATTAGGAAAACCGGAAACTGCCTCAACACCCACCAGCCGGCAGAGGGGCAGTAAATGAGGGTCCGTTTCGCAGTCCCCGGGGGCAGAGGGGAAGAACGGGCAGGGCCACCCATCTCCAGTGAAGGACGCGAATGCCATTTCTTTTTTTTTCTTTTTTTTTTTTTGAGATGGAGTTTCAGCTCGTTACCCAGGCTGGAGTGCAATGGCGCGATCTCGGCTCACTGCAACCTCCGCCTACTGGGTTCAGGCAATTCTCCTGCCTCAGCCTCCTGAGTAGCTGGGATTACAGGCACACGCCACCATGCCCAGCTAATTTTTTTGTATTTTTAGTAGAGACGGGGTTTCACCATGTTGACCAGGATGGTCTCGATCTCTTGACCTCGTGATCCACCCGCCTCGGCCTCCCAAAGTGCTGGGATTACAGGCTTGAGCCATTGCGTCCAGCCCCACGCGTGCCATTTCTAGTGGCAGCTGAGACACACCTGCAGCTCCAAAGCTAGCCACCTGCATTGGTCTCAGGCCACATCTGAAGGGGACAGTGGTTCCCTCTAGTATGACATTGGCCAGTTCCCTCTTTTATTTTATTTTTGAGGCAGGGTCTCGCTCTGTCACCAGGCTGGAGTACAGTGGCACGATCTCGGCTCACTGCAGCCTCCGCCTCCCGGGCTCAAGCGATTCTCCTGCCTCAGCCTCCCAAGTAGCTGAGACTACAGGCACCCAACACCATGCCCAGCTAATTTTTGTATTTTCGGTAGAGACAGGGTCTCACCATGTTGACCAGGCAAGTCTCAAACTCTAGACCTCAAACGACCCACCCGCCTCGGCCTCCCAGAGTGCTGGGGTTACAAGCGTGAGCCGCCGCGCCCGGCCCTTTTCCTGTCTACTTGTGTATCAAACATCTCATTTTGCCCGTTTCTAAGCGAACGGTTCCACGGTGCCAGGTGTACCCCCTGCTGTGCAGCCATCACCACCTCCAGCTCCAGAACTTCTTTTCTATCTCAGCTGTTTAAGGGATGGACCGTGTGCTGATCCTTCTCTCAACTGAGAAAGACACCAGGTACAAACCCCTGCCCAGTGAGCAGCGCTGAGCGGGCACTCCGCCCCTCTGCCCACCGCTGGCCCCTGGTCCTTAGACCAGACAGACAGATGGACGGGGGCTGCCCCTGGCCAGCAGTAGGCTGTGGGTCTAGAACTCTGCAGACCACAGTGTGGCTGGGGGAGAAAGGTATATCCTAAGGGAAAGAAAGTCCAAGTTGGTGTCCTTAAGGGGACAAAGGGCCACCTGCACCCGCCCTGTGGGGGCCCCTGCACTCCCTCCCCTGGTGTCTGTACGTAGTTTACAGCTTTTTGAAAGCTGGTGGGTAAGTATAGACTCTCACTTTAAAAGCATTTCCTGGCTGGGCGCGGTGGCTCACGCCTGTAATCCCAGCACTTTGGGAGCCTGAGGCGGACGGATCACCTGAGGTCAGGAGTTTTAGAGCAGCCTGACCAACATGGTGAGATCACATCTCTACTAAAAATACCAAAAATTAGCTGGGCGTGGTGGCACATGCCTGTAGTTCCAGCTACTCGGGAGGCTAAGGCGGGAGAATTGCACGAACCCAGGAGGCAGAGGTCGGCAGTGAGCCAAGATCATGCCATTGTACTCCAGCCTGGGCAACAGAGCAAGAGTACCTCAAAAAAAAAGAAGGTAGGCAGGGCATGGTGGCTCACGCCTGTAATCCTAGCACTTTGGGGGTGGGTGGATCACCTGAGGTCAGGAGTTCAAGACCAGCCTGGTCAACACAGTTAAACCCTATCATTAAAGAAAAAAAAAAAAAAAAAGGTGTTTCCTCAGAGAGGAAGGGCCTGAGCTAAGTCCTGCAGAAGCTCCCGCAGCAGAGGACACTCCCGGGAACCCAGGCAGAGAAAGCGGCCTTCCGAGCACAGAGGCTCCCTGCACCTCCTCTGTACAAAGTCTCGAGCCTTTTGTTCTGACAGTGACCGCCCTCCCAGGGTAGGTACAGTCATTACATGCTCTTCAGATGAGGAAGGAGAAGTCCAGCAAAGTTAAGTGACCTGCCCAAGGCCACACAGCAGGGAACCCAGGACAGGCCTGAGCCCACCTCAGAACCCTGCTTCTGTGCTGGCAGAGTCGTTCGGGGTGACGAGGACCCCCTACAGGACTTCAGGAGCTCCCCTGGAGGCTCCTGCCCTCCCCCAGGCTCAGCGGTCCCCCTAACCCCTCACCAAGGCTGGGAGTTTGCTTCGGCCTTCCCCGGCAGGAAGCTCAAAGTGGCCGGAGCAGTCACCATCCATCCCCAGGTGTCCCCCACCAGCGTGCCCAGCCCAGGTCCCATCCCGTGCCAAACACCCTGCCTCGCCCAAACCCCCTCCCACCAACCATAGAGGGACGAGGGGCTGCCCTGCCCTTTCGCCAAAGCCTGGGGCAGGAGTCGCTGGGCTGAACCAGGACACGGCCACACAGGTCCCAACTCCAGGCCCTGGGCTCCTCGCCTCCCCAGGGCACCCCAGCAGAGGCAAAGCCAAGTCGCCTGAAGCTCTCGAGCCCTGATGGCCACTGCCAGGTGAGTGATTAGTGCCAGCTCTGCCCCGCAAGGCAGGAGACCCAGGGAGCAGGTGAGTGCCTGAAACGAGCAGGCTGAGCCCAGACCGGGCCCTTCCGCAGCATCGGAGCAGCGGGCTCCAGCCGAGGGAATGGCCGAGTCTCCTTCAGAGCCCTCAGACCGGAGCCCATCAGCCTTGAACGCAGCACCGTAAGAGCCCCCTCTGGGGTCCGCAGGAGCCCAGCCTCCTCAGACCGCCTGGGCCCGGCCCCAGGACACCGGAGCGACTCCCAAGCTCAGGCTCTGGACTGGACAGACAGGGATGCGGAAGCTGCTTCCCTCCCCAGGCCCATCTGGAAGGGTGCGCAGGTCACACTCTAAGACGCCAGGACAACCTCGGGCCGGGGCGGGGCCTCCAGCAACAGTGACCGTGAGGAGGATGCCATCAAGGGAAAAGATCCAAGACGGGCCGGGGCCGGGAGCAGCGGCTCGCGCCTGTGACCCCCGTACTTTGGGAGGCCAAGGCAGGCAGATCACTCAAGCCCAGGAGTTTGAGGCCAACCTGGGCAACAGAGTGATACTCATCTCATAGAAAAAATCCGAAGTAAATCAAAGTGAAAGGCCCCTCGATGTGCCCAAGCCCCGAGTCCCACCGGCACCTGCTTCAGGCAGCTGGGAGGCAGTCGAAGGTCAGGGCCCAGGCCACTCACTGGCCAGGCTGTCCTTGTGGAAGGCCACTTGCTGACCCTTGCCCTGGTCCCGGGCTGAGACACTCCCAGGAGACCCAGGCAGCTCTCTAGGCCAGGACTTGCCCGTCCCAGCTGGGTGAGCTCATTCAGGAAAGGCCCCGGGGCTCAACGGGGCCACACAGAGCCACCAAGAGTGCTCTGGGGACAGGGGCCCCAGCAAGAAACCTGGTGTTTTCCAACAATTGTCTTTGCAGCTGGAGCACAAGGCGGGACAGGGCAAGAGGGGTGGGGCATCTGCCCACACAAAATAGATGTGGGGAGTCCACGTGACTCCTCCAAGGGGACCTTCGGGAGTGCAGGTGTGGTGGGCTGGAAGAAGGGGCCCAGAGAAGTCCCCACCCCTCATCCAGGACGGCCCCAATCTCTGGGCCTGGAGAGGTCTGGAGAATCAACGTCACAACCTCCCTTGGGACTAAGACCCCAGTGCGGCGATGGCACAGGGCCCCCTGACGGCACAGTGTCCCCACCTGGCATGTGTCAGGGGACCAGAGACCGCGCACAGGCCAGCCATTCTGGGTTCAAACCTTGGCCAACATGACCAGTCCCTGCACGTTTTCTGCACACTGGGCATGTGCTCCATGGACAGGAGCTAGCGCGGCCACTAGGTCCCGGCCTTCAGATACCAACAGAGCACGGGGTTCAATCTGGGGAGCGTCCTTAAGGGGAAGGGCACGCCTTTCCCCTCTGGGACCCTGAAAATGGTGGGCACACAGGTCAAAGGAGCCGGAGACTGCTCTTACGGTGCCAGCTGCTCTTCACTGCATGAAGCAGGAAACGTCTCTGTGGGGGAAGCTGCCGTCCTTCAGGCTTTCTGTCCTGTGGCCGAACCCAGCCGTGGGCCACAGCGCGGCCCTGGCTTTGCTTTCCTCTGCTGAATGGATGTACCAGGGCATCGGCCGCTGGGGGGGAAAGGTGTCTGCAGCTCTGCCCCAGCTGGGGACGCAGCTGGGGGAAGGGCCTGGGGGGTCCGCGGAAGCGGTCCTGCCTGGAAGGGGTCCGTGTTCTTACCCCGAGCCCAGTGGGAAGGAGGCTGCCTCAGCTGATCCATTCCCATCACCATCCCTGACACACTCCGGACACCAGTGCAGATGCAGGGGTCTCTTTGGGGGCCGCCTGGAACCCCGTGGGAAGGGGCTGGGCCTCAGCCAGGGAGCCATTGCTCAGGGGAAGATGGAGCTGCCCCTCCCCCGAGCTCGGCCTGCCCCAGGGCTGCCCCTACACCCGGAGCGCTGGGCTAAGCACAGCGGAGAAGGGAAAGGCAGGTGCTCCGGAGTCACTGTCAGCAGGTTCCGACCCTGGTTCCAACCCGTCCTGGCTGAGGGACCCCACCCCAGCAACAAGGTGCTTATCTCTGCATTCATCTCCTCATTTGTAACACTGAGCACACTCGAATCCCTGTTCCTGAGGCACACAGCAGGAACCGAGTGTCCCCTCCCTACCTCCCACCCCCCCAGGTCCCTTCCCTGGAGTCACAAAGTGCCTCCTCATCACCCGCCTTCCTCACCCCTCCCGATGGCCCCCACGAAAGGAACCTTAGGCTCACACACCCTACTCTTAGCCACTGCTGGGAGTCTGGGGAGTCGGCAGGGACCCCGGGGCCTGGGGAGTGGGTGCAGAGGTGTGTCGGAAGGCAGCTGTGCAGCCCAGGCCTCCCCTCCAGGCCGCCCTGCCCTCCGGCCCTCCCTTCTCTTTGGGACCAAAGCAAGAACCAAGCACCTGCTGTCACCAGCCAGGGTCCCGGAAGCCACTACTCTGCAGGCCTGGGCCTGGGGGCTCCCTGAGAGGTGAGGGCGGCAGGAAGGGCCAATCCAAGCACCATCAGAAGCCCCAGGTCTGAAGGACGCCCTGGTTAGCCGCAATCTCCAGGCTGAGATGGGGACTGGGCCAGCCCAGCCTGCCGGGTCCACAGAAAGGGCAGCAGTTGAACTGTGATGTGGCCCCTGGGAAGCAGCTGTTACCCACGGAGGCTGCCTCTGAAGAGGCCCACGGCTGTGGCCTGGCTCCATAGTGGGGTCCGCTCCAGCGTCTGCGAAGTCAAGCGCGCTGTCACTTCTGCTGAAAGCACAGGGCGCTGTCTCCTGCCCGTACCCCAGCACACGCCCGACCCAGGATTTTCCGCTGGCGTCAGAACCAGCCCCCCCAGGGAACCTACAGGCTGGACCCTCCTGGGTTGGGAAAGACTGCACCCTCGCTCCTACTCTGAAGCATGCCAGGGGCTGAGTGGGGTCCCCTCACAGAGACCCAGATCCCAGGGCCAGAACCGCAGGAGAGGCCTTCAGAGACTCCAGCACAGGGGCCCTGGAGCCCAGCCCCCAGGAGCTGCGAGTTCTGGAAACTGCCTCCTCCCTGAAGGGCTTTACACCGGGGACGTCAGCTCCAGTCACCACCTGGGCCAGCCCTGGAGTGTGCGCTCACCGGGACAGGCGGAGCCACTTGGCCGAATCACACCGGTCACCACACGTCCGGCTGAGCAGCCACCAGGCCCTTCTCAGACTCTCCACGCCCACCCTCAGCCCCAGGGTCCTTTGTCATATGCCGGGAGCTTCCGGGGCTCCACGAATGTAGGCCCGTTCCAGCAGCCTCAGCGCCCTCCCAGGACTGGCAAGGATGGTGACAGCGGGAAGCCAGCAACCTCTCACCCACTGCCCCTGGAACCACGGAAAACGGGGCCTCTGGAGCCACACTGCCCCCTCCCACACACACACACCCCTACAGGCCATTGCAAAAGCCACCGGTTGGGCAGTCCAAACAGGGCAGAGAGAAATGTAGCAACAGCCCCAGGGACTGGCTAACGGGGAGGGGGCCGGCAGGGCCTTCTCTGGCAGCCACCGTACCCAGGAGCAGCCAGGCAGCCCAGCCTGACCTCTGGCCCCTACTGCCAGCCTGGCAAAGCCAAGCTCCCACCTTCCGGGAGGCGCCAGGGGAACATTTCTGCCCCGCAAAACCTCAGTCCTGACCCTTCCCTTCGCTTGGAAGCCAAGCCCCGGAGCTGAAGGTCAGCGGGTGCTCCCCAGAACAGAAGCAGGTCCCCTCCAGGTCCCCAACCTCCCTGCAGAGAGGAAGGGAAGGGAAAAGGGAGCCGGCCCCACAGGTGCGCCCCTCACCGGGCGGACGAGGGGCGCCCATGCCGCCGCGCGCCCCATCAGCGGCCCTGGGGCAAGTCCCGAAGCCTCTACCGGCGCGGCCCGGCCCCCCTTTCTCTCGGACACCCCACGCCGGGCTGCAGGGACGCGGTGCAGACGCCCGGGGCCAGCGCGCGGGGACGAGGGGGGCACTGTGACGCGGCTCCGGCCCCCCGCTCGGGACCCCCTCCCGCGCCCGCCGCCCGCCCAGGCTTGCTCTCCCCAGCCCCGGAGCGCGGCGGGCCGGGCGGGGCAGGAAGGCGGGAGGCGCAGAAGAAAGTTCGGGAAGCGGAAGCGGCTCCCGGCCCGGCCCCCCGCACGGCGCCCCGGCCTTGCCTCATGTTCTCCACCGTCCGGCCGCCGTGGCGCAGCAGGCAGACGAGCGAGGCCACGGCGGACACCGCGAAGCACAGCGCGCAGTACAGGGCGACCTTGGCGTAGAACTCGGCCGCGCGGCTCAGCTGCACCAGCAGCAGCAGCCCCAGTAGCGCCGCGGCCACGCACGGCCACAGCTCCATGGCCGCCCCGCGCCCGACGGCTCCCGCGGGCCGACCTGCCGCGCTCCCCACGGCGCGCTCCTCCCCCGGCCTTATTGCGAGGGTGGCGGGGCGGGGCGGGGCGGGGCGGGGCGGGGGGCGGGGCGGGACGGGGCGGGGTGGGGAGAGGAGCGCGCGGCAGGGAAGGGCGGGGTGCGGCGCCCCGCCCCGGCACCCCCACGACGCCCCGCCCCGCCCCACTATGGTGCACCCACAACCGCACCCAGGAACCCCCCAGCCCCGCCCTGTCCCCCCACATCGCCCCGCCCCGTTTCCCTTGCCCCGATAACCCCCTGCCCGTCCCAGACAACGCCCCATCCTGCCCCGTTCCCCCACAACGCTCCGCCCCGGTCCCCCCCAGCCCCGCCCCGCCCCGCCACGGTCCACCCACCAAGCTCAGCCATGGTCTCCCCCCACCCCCCTCCACGGTACCCCCCCTGCACCCCCGCCACAGTCCCCCCTGGCCCCGCCCCGCCACGGCCCCACCCGGCGACTCCCCCAACCACCGCACCTCGAGACGCCAGCACCGCCCTGGGTCCTGGCTCGCCCCGCCACGCTCCCTCCCACAGCCCACCCCCAGGTCACCGAGGCTCCGGTGCCCTGCTCCCACCCTCCTGGTCCCAGGGGACCCCGCCCCCCCATCCTGGCTTCCTGGTTGCTCGGGCTCTGGCGCTGCCCCCCCCCCCCCCCCCCGCAGTCTAGGCTTCCCGCCTAGCCCGGTACCTACTACTCCAACACCAAGGCCGCCACAGGCTCCTGCGCCCAGAACCACATCTCCCCAAGGGCGTCAAGGTGGCGGGGACACGACCAAGTGGCCAAGCAAAGTGGCCCTCAAACCGCACCCGAGTGACCAGTGGTCACCTGGCCCAAGGCCTGGCTCTTAGGGTAACCTCAAGTCAGTGTGGGGAGACGCTTGGGACGTGTTTCTAGGCCCCACCCTGTCACCAGGGACGCTCCAGGGGCAAGCGAGGTAGGTGTCGGGCGGCTGCATTTACATCCGCTTGGCAGCGCGGCCAGCGTGGGGGGTCGAGGTGCAGCTGGTGCCGCTGAGATAAGGGCAGCAGCCCCCACCCCACACCCTCCCACCCTCCCCTCCCCACCCTCTCCCACCCTCCCCTCCCCACCCTCTCCCACCCTCCCCACCCCACCCCACCCCACCCCACCATCCTGCCCCAGGGAGCAGATGGAGGTTGAAAACCAGTTTCCTGCGGTTGAGGTGGCTCATGCGCGTAATCACAGCACGTTGGGAGGCAAAGGCAGGCAGATAACGAGGTCAGGAGTTCAAGATCAGCCTGGCCAACATGGTGAAACTCTACTAAACATACAAAAATTAGCCGGGCATTGTGTCAGCTGCCTGTAATCCCAGCTAATCCGGAGGCTGAGGCAGGAGAATCGCTTGAACCCGGCAGGCGGAGGTTGCAATGAGCCGAGATCACGCCACTGCACTCCAGCCTGGACAACAGAGTGAGACTGTCTCAAAAAAGAAAGAAAAGCAGCTTCCTGGGGTCCCTCGTGGGGACTCTTGGGTTCACTGCAGTTTCTGTGGTGCGGGCCGCCCCGCGCTCTAAGGGGTCAGCAGGGAATTACAGCCCCTCTTTTTCAGCTGCAGAGTTGACCTGCTCCTGAAACATTTCACTGAATATGATAACCGCCCCCAGACTGTCCTGAGACTACAGAAACGCTCTTCAGATGAATGGGGAACTGCAGGCCTGGAGGGCCCGGGTCTGACGGCCAGCGCTCAGCAGCCCCCGCCCAGGCGGTCCCAGCTTTTTCTTTTGCCTTAGGCCTGCAGGCGTCTTACCGTGAAACCCAGGCGCATTCTCCAGCCAGTCTCCTTCCAGGTCCCTTTGGGCTTCATCTGGAATCAGTGTGGACAGCCTAGCTTGACTCTTTCCACTCGGAGCAGTAACTGTGCACTCTCGAGCCAGGAGGCCTGAGAGCCCCGCGGCTATGCACCGGACGGCTGCCGGATTTTCAGCTTCTTGGGCAGATGTCACTGCCAGGAGCTGGGGGGTGTGGGGGTGTGGGCCGGGGTCGCAGGTGGACTTCCTGGAGGCGTGGGACTTCCCAGCACCTTCAGCTGGAGGCTCTGTGCACCCAGGTCCCGAGTGGGTTGCGCCCCCGCGGGTGGCATCCACTCTTCCCCACCCTCAGGCCTGTCCAGGGGGCTTTACGTGGCAGCCCTCTTGTCCTTTACCTCCAGCCCACCGCCCTGTTTGGGGTGGCTGCCATCTTCCTGCCCCTCCGCACATTCTTCCCGCACCCCCTGGGAGACTGTGTGTGTGTGGAGGGCGCCTCTGCCTCCTCTCCTTCCCCGGCAATGGAGCCCATGGGGGCTCGTCTGTTTTGGGCACCACATGTGACCAGCACTCCAGCCAGTGCGTGGCGCATAGTAGGTGCTCGTAGCAGCAAATGCATCTCCATTTTATGGAGGGAACACACCAGCGGCCGGGACGGGACACAGGAAAAGAGGCTGACTCTGAACCCGGAAGGCTCCTGCCGGGGCTCGTGGGAGCACACTCAGGTGACCTGCTGCTTCCCGGACAAGGTGGGGTTTTCCCACTGCTCTCCTGAAGAGGCTGTGGCCCCGTTTCACCTCCTCCCCTCTTCTCCGAGCCTTGCAGAAGGGTTGAGAGAAACACTCACTTTTCCTCCTACAAGACCCGAGAGGAGGAGGGCTGGGGACCCGGGGAGTGACAAGGAACCATTTGGCATTCTAATATAGCCCCACATTTGAGACACTAACACATTCTCTGTCTCTAGAAGTAAAGCTACAGGGAATCTTATGGGCTGACAGAGACAGCAAAAGAGATTTTCTTTCTTTTTTCTTTTTTTTTGAGACAGAGTCTTGCTCTGTCACCCAGGCTGGAGTGCAGTGGCGCAATCTTGGCTTACTGCAACCTCTGCCTCCTGGGATCAAGTGATTCTCCTGCCTCAGCCTCTTGAGTAGCTGGGATTACAGGTGTTTGCCACCACACCCGGCTAATTTTGTATTTTTGTTTTGTTTTGTTTTGTTTTTGAGACGGAGTTTTGCTCTTGTGCCCAGGCTGGAGTGCAATGGCTCGATCTCAGCTCACTACAACCTCCATGTCCCAGCTTCAAGCAATTTTCCTGCCTCAGCCTCCTGAGTAGCCAGGGCTACAGGCATGCGCCATCACACCTGGCTAATTTTGTATTTTTAGTAGAGACAGAGTTTTTCCATGTTGATCAGGCTGGTCTTGAACTCTCAACCTCAGGTGATCTGCCCACCTCAGCCTCCCAAAGTCATGGGATTACAGGCCTGAGCCATCGCGCCTGGCCTAACGTTTGTATTTTTAATAGAGACAGGGTTTTGCCATGTTGGCCACACTGGTCTCGAACTCCTGACCTCAAGTGATCTGCCCGCCTCGGCCTCCCAAAGTGCTGGGATTACAGACCTGAGCCACCGCACCCGGCCTAGAAAAGAGATTTTCTCTAAAATGAGTGCTTCTCGCCCAGGGAGGGGAGGCCTGGGCTCTGCTGGGTTTGCCCCAAGTGGGTGGCAAGTGACAGGAGCCTGGTTTTTATGTGTAGGGATGGCCAGCGCCCTGTCTGTCCCTTGAGATGGCCTCAGCTTCCAGGGCCCAGGGGTGCTGGGCTGGTGGTGGCCGTGTGGCTGTACCCGCCCAAGGACAGCTGAGCGTCCCCCTCGGCATGTACTGGGACCCGGCCAGACAGCGCATGACACTAGGTGACAGTGAGAGCTGAGCTGGCCCCGGATCCTGAGGCCTGGGAAGCCCACAGCCCGGGGAGCGGGTGAGGACGGAGGGATGGCCAGGCCTCTCCAATTCCAGGAAGCAGAGATGAAGCCAGCTCTGGGGCTCGAGGCACAGCGTGCCCAGGCTGGGGCAGAGCAGCCAGGCTTTGAAGTCCGGTCCATCTGGCTTCAGACTCTGAGTTAGCCAAGGCACCAGAGCCTCGGTTTCCTCATACGTAAGGTGGAGACGCGACGCCTGCCATGCCTGGTGTGCAGGAGGAAGCAGCTTCCAGGCCGGCGGGACACATGGGCCTGACTTGGCCTCTCCCCAAAGACCTGTGACGAAGAGGCTTTCCGCAGCCAGAGACACCGGGACGGGACGTGTGGCCACCACACAGTTGGACCGGGCACCCAGGAGGGGCCCTTCAGGAGCTCCATCCTTCCAAGGAGGACGTTGGAGCCGGGCCTGAGGGCTGGACAGGGAGGGTGGGCCGTGCCGGGACCTGCAGAGTGGCTGGCAGCAGCTCAGTCTAGGCGGAGCATGCCCGGGCCGACAGGTTGTCCAGCCTCCTGGTGGGTGTGTGCAGTGCCATTCCCACCACCTGTAAATAAAGCAGCCTGTGAATCTTTCATGGGCTTGTGCTTAAAAATAGATGAGGTGAGCCCTCTGGGCGGGCTGCCTGCAGCCTCTGCAGCAGGCGGGGCGGTCCACACACTCCCCAAGGAGTCAGGGAGAGCAGGGGAGGGCCCCGAGGGGCGCAGGTCGGGGCACATGGGACCTGGGGACCTGTGGCTCCAGACGGGGGAGCCAACAGAGGTCACGTCTTTGGATGTACCATCCGGAGCTCTTAGGTCGCAGGTCAGGGTGGGGGTGAGGGGCAGAGCGCACCCCACGGGGTCCTTCTCCTGCCAGGAGGATGTCTAGGCTGGGAGTCAGAGAACAGAGGTAGACGCAGAGAGGACAGCGGGGCCGGGTGGGCGTCGGGAGACATAAGGGAAGCCCAGGCTGGGCTGAGACTGTGGGCAGGCCCACACTGCAGTAACCCTTCCCTGCCCAGAGCGGCTGTGCCCTGTGCTCAACCTCTCCCACCCAGGACGGGCATGTCTGAGTGGCGCATCTGAGGAGCAGGGAGCCAGGCCAAAGCGGGCTCTGTGGCAGGAAGCATCAGAGCAGACACAGAGCTCCCGCCTCTGACAGTGCCCCGGCCAGAGCTCACACAGGAGGCCCAGAGGGTGGGTGTGCCTGGGCCCTAGCCCGAGAGAGGGCTGTGATGCAGGGTGAAGATCCCAGGGCGGGCCAGACAGCCCAGCCCTGCCAGGAGACCCTGGGCGACCTCGGATCAGCCCTACCTCTCTGGGC